TCAAAGACATATTGTAACTGTAGGGTAATAAAAAAGAATAAGAACTATGCTGACAGAGGTAGAAAACTAGAGTCATAAAAAATCTAAAAGAAAGACAAAATGGAGCAAAAAGCAAGAAAAACAAATACAAATGAATCATCAATAAGATGGTAGACTTGAACCCAAGTATCAGCAATAACTAATTGATCCAATTAAAAGACAAACATCATCAGACTTGATAAAAATATATGAAGAGAGGAAGATAAGATAGAAAATGAAAGATAAGAGGAAATCCTTTTCTAGCTTACAATAGAAATGCAAGATTATCCACAAGATACCAACTTAATGACGCAAGATACCAACTTAATGACCGTTACTATAATCTACTTTCAAATAAAGTAGCTCACCGTTTATCTATAATTTAACAGACATAAGGGAAATTATAGAGGGTGATGTAAAGCTTAGTAAAGTACAATTTCATTTAACCTACTATTATTTAGATCTTTAAATACGTGAATCCCTAAAGAGTGACTATAAACCCATTAATTGATTATGGATTATTTAATTAATTTTAAACAGTTCAGAATAACTCTCCTATATCAAAACCTGGGGACTCTATTCCATAAACTCTGTACCCTGGAACTCAGGAATCCAGATCTTACAGAAATAAAAAGAGTTCTTCAGGGAAGGGAAAAAAGTTGAGGGTGACTGTTAAAATGAAGTTTGAGTTACCTTAGTATATATTAACTCTGAAACAGACTCTCAGGCTCTACAAAAATCTCATGAAGTTATCTGACTTCCCATTTAACATCTCAGCCTTCTAAGTTATTCTTAAGGATGAAGAACATACTGTTTTTCAAAGACTACATCACCAGATGGGTCTAAATAGCACAAGTCACTTACTTATATTGAGTTGAAAATCACCTCTTTGTAATTTGACTTATTAGTTCTAGTTTTATGCCCTGTCTTCACCAAAAACAAATTAAAACGAACGCTTCCATATACATACTCCTTCAAATAGTTGAAGACAAGCTATCACGAACCCCCATGTTTTCCTCTCCAAATCCACAATTTCATCAGCTATCCTAGGACACAGAATAGAATCTCTTCCCAACCCTGGCTATTATTCTCTAAATGAACCTAAACTTATCTAAATAGACCCTTCTTAAAGTACTACCTCAGAATTCAATTCAGTAATTCTGATGTTGCCTGTAACATCAGGCAACAACTTCCTTAAAAACACAGCAAGTTGGATTTACCAAGTTGCTGACCAAGTCGTATTCTCTCCTGCCCTCATTCCCATTGTTGTATTACACTTTATCTCAAGTTCCATTTTGCTTAGTATTCATGATGCTCAAGTTGTCATTGTGGACATCAGAGGCCATAAATATATATTGTTCTGGCTCCTTCCTGTACATCTTTCTGAGTCATACCTGCTGTTCTCCAAAGTCTGTGAATCCCGATACTAACAACTTGGCAATTCAGTTTAAGGTCCTCTTCAGAAGGTCAGTTAGCTCAAGGCAATCACATTCTTCCCAGGCCTCTTAAGAAATACTCCAACCCCAGAAAAGGCCCTTCTTTCTGGTATCAGGAGCCATGGGCCACAAATACAAATCCAACTGAATTTCAGCCATTTACCTCCCAGATCGTCCTCTCCCTGAAGTTCTGTCTAGAGCAGGAAAAAATAATGAAAACACCTGCAGTCATGAATCCTCCAGTTTCCTGGTCAAGATTTCATATTCCCTTCAAGATACCTCCCAAAGAGGACATGACAAGGGAGGGGTACACAAGGTACTACAGGTACTGATAAGGTTCTATTTCTTTTATACATACATTTTTTCAGAGACGGAGTTTCTCTCTTGTCACCAAGGCTGGAGTGCAATGATGCAATCTCGGCCCACTGCAACCTCTGCCTCTTGGGTTCAAGTGATTCTCCCACCTCAGCCTCCCAAGAAGCTGGGACTACAGGTGCCCACCACCATGCCCAGCTAATTTTTTGTATTTTTAGTAGAGATGGGGTTTCACCAAGTTGGCAAGGCTGGTCTCGAATTCCTGACCTCAGGTGATCTGCCTGCCTCGGTCTCCCAAAATGCTAGGATTACAGGCGTGAGCCACCATGCCCAGTCAAAGGTTCTATTTCTTAAGTTTGGTGTTGGGCATATGGACATATGATTTAATGTTTTAAAAAAGAAAGATACCATCCTGTTTTTTTTTGTGTTTTGCTTTTTGTTTTAGGCCTGCGTGCTTCATTCATTCTCCCGTATGAATCCATAAAGAAGTAGCCATTAGCAACGACGACCCAGTTGACAACCACAACAGTTTCTATGATAACAAAAGTGAGAGAAAATACTTACATTAGGGTCATTTCAAGAAAGTTCAATCATAAGATATATCCGCAAGCAAAAGTATACACACAAAAAGCTAAGTAAGAAGCTTTTAGAAAACTACTACCATCCTTAGAGTAAGTACAACAAAGTATTCTTTTATGTCTTTGTTATTTTCATCAAAATGCCTCATATAGCCATAGATTTTAAACCATTACATCTTGTCTAGATTCCATATTAGATCATTAATATTTTTTCTAGATTCCATTGTTATTCCTTTGTAACCTTTATTTTTAGTATCTTAAAAATACTTTATTAAATATAACACGTACATTCAGAAAAGTATGTAAAATATACCTTAAGGTATATCTTAGCAAGTTATTGTAAATTATTTGCCCATGTAACCACCAACCTGGTCCAGAAATATATTCCAGCCAGTATCCAAGAAGCCCACGGATGTACCTTTTCAGTTCACACCTCCCTACCTCCCACCTAGATGTACTCCTTACCCTAACCTCTATGTAATCACTTCTTTGTTCTTGATAGTTTTACTGCCCAAGTATGAACCCAGAAATAAGTGTTTCTCAGTTTTCTTTTCATTTTTGTCTCCCTACAAAGCCTTTTTAGAAGTTTCTTCCCTAATTCTACCCCCATGCCCCATTGAATTTTAACATCACAGATATATTGTATGTCGGTTTATATTCTATGGCCCTTTGGAGGGTAGCAGACCATTATAATAGGTAAGATTTTCTTTTACTGTAAGGACCAATTTTCACTCCACTGCAGGTGATATTGCCTCCACTAAGAATGTATGCCCTGACCAACATTAGTTTTGCCTATTTTTGAGCTCTATATAGAGGAAATTGTACAAAATAGGTTTTGGGGGTCTGGTCTCTTTTGCTTAACACAGTGTTCAAGGTTCACCCATCTTGTCCCACATAGCTATAAGCCATTTTATGAATACCACAGTTCTTCATTTTCTTGGAATGAACACTTGGGTTATTTTCTGTTTAGGGCTATTATAAATGATGCTGCTCTGAACATTCCTGTATCTCCTGGTGCCTACATACTCATTTCTTGTGGAGTGGATATTCACAAGATTCCTGAACAATAGTGTATGAGTATCTTCCACTTTACCAAATTGTTTTCTAAAACACTTGTACAAATATACACCCCCGTTAGAAAAATGTAGAGTCCTGTAACAATTTTCTTAACTTAAAATATAAGTTAAGCAAAATATCTCCTATGCCTTCTTTTTCTTTTAAGATCTGAAGATCACTGTGCAAAGGACTATCAGGGTCAACCCTAAGAATCACAAAACAAAAAACCGTTCAAACAAAAAGAGAATTTTTTTTTTCAACTAACTCAAAAATGAACCAATCTGAAAGCTAAAATAGAGCATCTAGGATAAGTTCCAGAAAGAGAAGATCTTAAGCTGCTCTATATCCCCAGGAAAAATAGAGGTCACTATAGCTTCCAGCTCCTTTAGAATAAATGTCCAAAAGAGATCATAATAGCCTAAATCTAATCTAATAAGTGGGTTCAGAGTTTGCAGTCATTCTAAAGGAAAACAGCCACATGTATATAATTTTCTCAAGAATTTAAAAGAAGTTTAATATGCTTTCCTAGACTTGTATTATTAGCCAAGGGATTCAAGGAAAACAATTTCCCATGGATGGAACCATGAAAAGTTAAATCACTAAGCCGGGCGTTGTGGCTCATGCCTGTAATCCCAGCACTTTGGGAGGCCGAGGCAGGCGGATCACGAGGTCAGGAGATGGAGACCATCCTGGCTAACACGGTGAAACCCCGTCTCTTCTAAAAAATACAAAAAAATTAGCTGGGCGTAGTCGGCCGCCCTGCAGTCCCAGCTACTGGGGAGCTGAAGCACGAAGAATGGCATGAAGCCTGGGGCGGAGCTTGCAGTGAGCCGGATCCCGCCACTGCACTCCAGCCTGTGACAGAGTGAGACCCGTCCTCTAAAAAAAAAAAAAAAAAAGAAAAGAAGAGTTAAATACGATGTAAATCCAAAACAATCAGTATTTTTCTACAACTGTCCTATATATACATGTCCAATACGATGCCCACCTCTCACTACCCCCCACTTTTGTTTTGTTTTAAGAGACAGGGTGTCTCGCTCTGTCACCCAGACTGGAAAATAATGGTGCAATCACAGCTCATTGTAGCCTTGACTTCTCCAAGCTCAAAAGATCTTCCTGCCTCAGCCTCCCTCCACCCCAGTAGCTGGGACTACAGGTGTACTACACCTATATATTTTTAAAGTAATAACATAACTATCTCTACAATAAGAGTTGATTATGTTGCTTTCAAAACTGGGGGAAAAAATCATAAAAATCAACTTGGCAATCATTCTCTGTATAATGAAATATATTACTCTTATTTACTTTCCAAGCAATATTGCTCAAGCTTTTTGCCAGAAGATAAAAATCATGTAAGAGTTCACTCTATCAGGAAAATGACAAAAAAAAATCCGATGGACCTATAAAAACAATTTCTTTAAATCCAAAAAACAAGTAAACTCATCCTATCTTACCCCCTACATCTTTTGGAACTTGGTTGCCTTTGAATTTCACAAAATAAAGCTAGTAAACATTTCCATTTTTGCACAGTTTTAAGAAATGACATTTATAATCTGACAACAGAAAAGAGCAAAAGAACAACAAGAAGAGCAGGATTTTAGAGATCCTTAGCTGTCTTATAATTCTGTGATTTGTATATGTCCCTGAGCTCTGTCATAAGTCTACCTGAAGCTTGCACTGACCCAGACACTGCAGCCTGAAACACAAAAGCCACTGTTTACCAGGGTCTACTGAGCCAACTAATTTAAAGATTTAAGGTATTTCAAGGTGATCTAAAAGATTACAGTAGCCAGGTGTGGTGGTTCACACCTGTAATCCCAGCACTTTGGGAAGCTGAGGAGGGTGGATCACTTGAGGCCAGGAGTTTGCAATCAGCCTAGCTGACAAGATGAAACTCCATCTCTACTAAAAAAGTACAAAAGTTAGCCAGGCATGGTTGCATGTGCCTATAGTCTCAGCTACTCAGGAGGCTGAGGCAAGAGAATCACTTGAACCTGGGAGGTGGACATAACAATGATCTGAGATGGCACCACTGCACTCTGGCCTGGGCCATAGAGCAAGACTCCATCTCAAAAGAAAAAAAAGAAAAAAGAAAAAGATTACAATAAAAATTGACCACCACTCAACATTTTAAGAAGAAAAAAAAAGTCCAATTAAATGAAGCATTATGAAGTTTCAAGAGAATATAAAATTAGACACAAGTCTGGTTCATTTCCTGTTTCTTATCATCTGAAAAACTCTAGCCAACATGTTCAGACCACCATGGACTCCATGATAGCACAGAATTCAGTATGAGTCAATTCCAAACCCCAGCGATTTTTGAAAATACTAGAAGACACTCAAGGTGACACATTACTAACTAAAAGAGACTTCCATTCATAAGACTATAAGCAAGAATATTACACAGACGGTATAGTTCACACATGAAGACACTGAGAAACATGTGTGCCTACATGCAACTGGTTTCAGTTTTTCAGTGCAGGATCTTCTCCAAAGTTGAAAACACATCAATATCTTACCCTAAGACTAAATAGAAATGGAACTACTTCTTGGTCATGTGAAACTAAAGGTTTTAAAGACTGCACTATACTTTGAAAAAGAAAAAAAGTTAAGTTTACAAAGATATTACTTCCTAGCTATGTGATCATGAGCTCATTTCATATCTATAAAATATGAGAAGTTTCTCCTATCTCTAAAATGTGAAGAGCACCTATTTCACACAGCAGCTGTGAAGACTAAATGAGAAGATATATAAAGTATAAAGTACTTAGCATAGTATCAGTCATGAAAAAGTGTTCAATAATTTATACTTGTTTTGAAGATAAACTGGAATCAATCACAAGACACAGAAAGTACAGTAACATTAATTCAAATGCTACAAACTTAGTTTTTTAAATTATCAAGATATGGAAATTTGACTAAACTTCTTTCCTCTATGAAAAATTACTAATTAAATATATAACTAAGATTGAAGAAGGGAGAGTAATCTATCCAGTTTCAACATTTGGCATCTACTTGCCTAACAATTCATTCTCTGTTTTGGAGAACCTGTGCCCAAGACAAAGTAACTTGTCCTCGGATTTTGTGGAGTTGGTAAATGGCTCTAATACAAGGCAGGAAGTAGTAAGTGTTCAGACAATCATTTGATGTTTCCCTACTCCGACTGAGCCTTTTATGTGTATACACACATGATGCTTGTTTATTTTTCATAGCAGCCATCCAAAAGGTATGTACTGTCTATCCATATTTTAGAGCTGAGCAAAGTGAAACCAAAAAAGGTGTGTTTGTCACCAAACTCAGTGTTCTTTTCCCATCCTGTTGCTTCACATAAAAGAGATGTTAAGTCAAAAGAGAAGAATTACTTTTGGTTTGGTCAGAGCAGGATGGACCAAAGTCAGCCTCATGAAGGAGAAATAATTTGAGTTGTGTTTTGTAGGAGAGAATGAATTTGAATATACAGATGCCACAGAAGGAAGGTAAGCAGAGAAAACAACATAAACAGGCTGGAAAGGGGCATATACAGGGATCAGCAAGTGGTTCCAGGATGTGAAGAGCAGATGAACAGGGTAAAAAGTGGCTATTCACAGATGAGAAAGATAACCTTGGGCAACAAAACATGTGACCATGGCTAGGCATGGTGGCTTATGCCTGTAATCCCAGCACTTTGGCAGGCCAAGATAGAAGGATCGCTGGAACTCAAGTGTTTAAGACCAGCATGGTCAACATAGTGAGGCCTCATCTCTACTAAAAATCAAAAAAATTAGCCTGGTGTGGTGACACATGCCTATAGTTCGAGACACTTGGGAGGCTGAGGCAAGAGGATCCCTAGAGCCTGGGAGATCAAGACTACAGTGAACTATGATTGTGCCACCACACTCTAGCCCAGGTGACAGAGCAAGACCCTGTCTCAAAACCAATAAACATATGACTAAGGCAGGAATGGAGGAGGAGAGAAGCTGAGATCGGCATGTTCATGAATTGCCTGGTATTAACTATAATTACTCAACTAAAAAGTCCAGGCTCTAGCTATCTACATACACTTACACATTTAAATGGTCTTGCCTAATTTTCTCTAATATTGCCAAATTTTCTTTTTCAATTCCTTCATCCTCCAACTTTTCCCCACTAATAGGCTCTTCTTTCATCTCATAGTGATCTAAGTCTTCTATATCCTGCAAAAAGAAGAAAAATGTTAGCTTATTCAACCTATTTTTCT